GATGGCTAGTGATAAGGGCATTCTGAATTCTCTTCCAATGCTTGACGGTAAAAAATAGATCTGATGGGAAAAAACAGATACAATCCTTGTTTAGCTTCCATGAAACCCTTGAAGTGGTTACCGAAGGTGTTTCTGTGTTGGCTGCAAATGCAATAGACGAAGAGAAAAAAGCCCACAACAAAGTCAAGAAGAAAGATTGTAAGGCTGCTTATTGTATTCAAACAGCTGTCGATGCTGCTAATTTCGACAGAATCTCTCATGCTGAAACGGCGAATGAGGCATGGGATATTCTGGTGAAGTATTACGAAGGAGGTGAGAATGTCAAGGTTGTTAAATTACAAACCTTGCATCGACAATATGAGTTATTGTCGATGGGAGGAGATGAAAAAGTTGCAGAATGTGTGTCGAAGGTTCAGAAACTCGTTCATCTCATGAAGGGTTGTGGTGAAACCATTACTGATAAGATGATTGTTGAGAAGGTAATAATAAAGTTGACCTTTCACTTTGATCATGTTATCGTAGCTATTCAAGAATTCAATAATCTTGAAACCACTAAAGTGGAAGACTTGGTTGGTTCGTTGGAGGCGCATGAGATGAGGATTATCGAAAGGAAAGGAGTTCAGGACTCGATACAGGCACTACAAGCTCAGTCATGGAAAAAGGATGGTGGTTCCAACAAATTCAAAGGCAAGTTCGATAAGACTCGTGGCAAGAAGTCTTGGTCGAATCCCCATAAGAATAAGGTCGAAGATAGATCTTCTGAATCCTCGAAAAGGGGAGGAGGAAACTATCGAAAAGAAAAAGAAGATAAGAAAGGTATGCAGTGTTATAACTGTGAAAAGTGGGGACACTTGGCCAAGAATTATTGGTACATGAAAGACAAGGGATCGACAGGCAAGTACGAAGGAGCGAACCTTGCACGCCAAGATTCATATGATTCTGAAGGTGGTATGATGGTTATGGATGCAGTTGCAGATAACTATGTCGAATCCAAGATCTGGTTTCTTAACTCAGACTGCTCAAACCATATGACTGGTCAAAAGGAGTGGTTGGCAAATTTTGACGAGTCGAAAAAGAGCAAGGTAAAACTTGTTGATAATATTTCGTTGCAAGCAGAAGGTACTGGAAACATAGTCTTTCAAATGAGTAATGGAAGGAAAGTTCTGCGAACAGATGGAGGTGGCGAATACACATCCAAGACGTTTGAAGATTTATGTGTAGAACATGGTGTTAATCATGAGGTAACTGCTCCTTATACACCTCAACATAATAGAATTGCTGAAAGAAGAAGCGGGACCATATTAGATATGGCAAGATGCATGCTGAAGCAAAAGAATTTGCCAAAGTATTTATGGGGAGAAGTTGTTTCGACTGCAGTTTATATTTTGAATAGGTGTCCTACTAAGATATTAAAGAACAAGGTTCCTGAAGAAGTGTGGAGTGGCAAACGACCATCAATAAGTCATTTGAAAGTGTTTGGCTTTATGTGTTACAAGCATGTTCCTGATGCAAGAAGAAGGAAGCTTGATGACAAGAGTGAAACTATGATTCTGGTAGGATATCATAAAACAGGTGCATACATACTATTAAATCCAGTTAATGAGAAGATTGTGTTGAGTCGAGATATTGTGATTAATGAAAATTCTGTCTGGGATTGGAATTCTAGAAACAACCCATTAATGAACTTTGATTTCGACAAAGAAACTTGAAGTAGAAGTCGAAGGAATTGTTGAGAATCCAGTCGAAGAAATTATTGAGAATCCAGTCGAAGTCGAAGAAGAAGCAGTTGCTGACACTCTCGACACAGTCGAAGTCGAAGAGGATGTGGCTGAAACAAGCCTGAGACCTCAAAGAAATAGAGTACTTCCAACAAGACTTCGTGATTATGAAGTGGTGGGTGATGATGAAATCACACCAGATAGAGAATTAGTTCATTTTGCTTTAATTGCAGGTGTTGAACCAATCAACTATTGCGAAGCTTTAAAGAATAACAAGTGAAAGTTAGCTACGGTCGAAGAGTTACAGGCAATTGAAAGAAATAACACATGGGAGTTAGTCGAATAGCCAGTACATACAAAAGCTATCGAAGTAAAGTGGGTGTTCAAGTTGAAACACAATGCAGATTGGTCAATAGAAAGACATAAAGCAAGATTAGTAGCTCGAAGTTTTCTTCAAAGAGCAAGACTCAACTACTCTGAAGTATTTGCTCAAATAGCAAGATTAGAGACTGTTTGACTAGTGGTAGCATTGGCATGCAACCAAGGTTGGTCGACATTCTATCTAGATGTGAAATCAACATTTTTGAATGGTCCTTTAGACAAAGAAGTTTATGTCATACAACCTCCTGAGTTTATGATTCAGAAGGAAGCGAGTAAAATATATAGATTGCACAAAGCGCTCTATAGCCTCAAGCAGACACCTAGGGCATGGAACAAGAAGAAGATCAACTCATACTTAGTCAAATTGGGATTTGTCAAATGCAAATCAGAGTATGGTGTCTATGTTCACGTTGTAGCACGAGATATAACAATTATCTGCTTGTATGTTGATGACTTGCTAGTAACTGAAAATAGTTTGGAGAACTTGTCGAAGTTCAAAAAGTTGATGACGAAGGAATTTGAAATGTCGGATCTAGAAAAAATGTCTTATTTTCTAGGCGTGGAATTTCAAATGTCGAAGCAAGGTATGGTGCTACATCAAAGAAAGTATGTCAAAGAGATACTCAAGAGATTCAGAATGGATGATTCGAATCCTGCATCCTCACTTGTCGAACTAAATGTGAAGTTGGAAAAGAATGGATAGGAAGACAAAGTCGATGCAACTTTGTTTAAGCAAATTGTGGGGTCTCTGAGGTATGTGTACAACAGTCAACGTGATATAGGTTTCGTAGTCGGATTAGTAAGCAGATATATGGGTGAACCAAGAGTGTCACATATAAAGGTTACAAGAAGAATCCTGAGATATTTGAAGGGTTCAATAAATTGTGGAATACTATTTCGACGAGATTCTGAAGACAAAGAAGCAAGAGTTAATTATTTTCCAGATGTTGATTGGTGTGGAGATAAGGAAGATCGAAGAAGCACAATTGGATATTTCTTTCAAGTATTTGGTGCCCCAATCTCATGGTGTTCGAAGAAACAACATGTGGTGGCATTGTCATCATGTGAAGCTGAATATATAGCAGGATCATATGATGCATGTCAAGCAATTTGGATAAGATCTGTACTTGAAGAAATGATTATCGAAGTGAAGAAACCTTTAGTATTGCAAATCGACAACAAGTCAGCCATAAATCTGGCGAAGAATCCAGTTCTGCGTGGAAGAAGTAAACATAAGCAAGGTTTCACTTCTTAGGGGAAAAAGTAAATCAATGTGAACTTGAAGTTAGGTATTACTCAAGTGAAGCGCAATTGACCGACATATTCCTGAATTTCGGAAAGAAATTAGGAATAGTTCAGATTCAACCCGTAGTTCAGATTCTATTTTTGAGGATGTTCAACAACTTGGATTATGGGAGTGTTAAAATATTAAATTAGATTTGATTAGATTTAATATTTAAATATAATTCAAGTTGTGTTAACACAAACCCAATTAATATTGTATATAAATAGTCATAGTGTATATCATTATTTGTACAATTCAATAATACAAATCATTATTTCCTTTATTATTCTCTCTTTCTCTTCTCACTAAAAATGGCTCACGCACTAACAAAGATTTCAAATTCTGCTTCACAACTCCATAAATGCATTTTCATAAAAGTAACTAAATTGTTAAATTAGAAATAAATTTTTTGAGTGCGTTAGAATAAATTTTAGAAAAAAATATGGAGTGATACACTATTAAGAGCATGTTTGAGTGAGGTGTATAGCATATCTGAAGATGTGTCTCCAAAAGTAAAGAGGCATTTTTGAATTTGTATAGGGTGTTTTTCAACCTCTTAGGATGGGATTAACAATTCCCTAAAACTTCAAGTAAAATAAATACCCATTGTTAATAATATTGGACAGGGCCGTATTTAAATGCTACTTCAACCCTTCAAGATTGTCAAACATAAAAAATGTTCATTCCAATTCTAAATATTATGATGATGTGACCAAAGGTGGCCAGCAAGATTTCTGGCAAAAAATAGTCATCCGCAAAAAGTGATGATAAGAGAAAATTCCCACCAATGACATGGTTACCAGATAAAAAAACACCCATAATCCATTATATATTACAAACCATTTACACCATCCTACAGTACATGACTAATTTGTCAAAAACTAATGGATATTCATTGCATTTAACATCACAACACACCAGACATATATAGTTACCACGACCATGATATGATCCCCTTTGGATTGCAATTGCATAACACACCAAGTGTATGAACAAAACTTGCTACAGTTGCTCAACATTTTTATAGAGAACTTTATTATCATAGTTTAAGTATATAAAAGCTTAAAATTGCATTTATACCCTCCATAAGTGCCTCTCCCATACTTTCCTGTATTCCATCTTAACTGCTACATTTTTATGACAAGTTAACTGCAACAACTGACAATTTGCTTCAACCATATAACACTCGAACAGCTTTAGTAAACAATTTTCATGTTATCAAAATTTACTTTACAGGTAAGAGAAGAAAAAGGCAACAGAAAAAACTCTCCCCCACCAACTGATACTTACCAAACTCTAAAACTAAAACAAGAATCAACATTTCTCACAACCCAACAAAACTCTAAATTAGAGTCCTATTGGAAATGTGAGGCACAAACTAGCAGGACCAAAACAACATAGAGCCTGCAATTGTTTCTAGTTTAATGGTCAATATCAGTTACAGAAGGACAGTACCTTCACATGCCAAGCAATCAGATCATCCTATTGGCAACTCTTCCAGCTTTATGCAGCCAATCGCCTTCACGGAACTCCACCATTATTTTTAGAGTTTCCAAAAATGTTGCCCCAGATAGGACTTCAATCTATCCTGTTTATCGGTTGTCACCGAGCCTGTTTCAGTAGTTACTTGGCCAATTTATATGTGCATGCTGAGGTTGTTGCTGATAAACATTTCCGCCGGGCCCTACCATATCAACTGCTCCAGCCATTGTCTGTGATTGTTGCAGAAGTGGATGAACTGTTCCGGCTGTCCCGGCTTGTGCAGGATGGTGATAGACGCCAGCAAAGTTGCCGTGGCCAGCCTGTGTCGGGGCAAAAGTCACATGCTGACCCTGAGGTGGAAGGTTGTAGAATGAACTAGCGGGCATACTGGAAATGTCTCGACCTGATGCAGCAACCCACATTGCCGAACCTTCGCTCTGCAGCGGAAAATAGCACATAATTATCATCAAATCTAAACATTCTGGAACCACAAATTGATAATTAACATCAACACATATTTAGTATAGCAGGAAAATCCACCGATGTATTGTTTTTATGATTGTCATGTTATCTCGCTAAATTTAAAAAGTGGTGGAACTCAAAAGGTACAGACCTGCTGTCCATTGAGGTATACATTGTTTTCCTTGAACTGTGATGAACCGAGATCCTCACTAGAGGTCGAATTTCCAGCAGTTTCTGCAGAATTAGGATTATAACCACCGGATGGGGAGGAGCCATATGCACCATAGGCAGCCGGCATTACATAATGAGCCGAGTTAGCTGCATTTGTTCCAGGTTTGTACTGTGGAAGGGGATATTTCATCCCGTTTGCGGCCACGGCGGAAGGAGGTGGATACACGGTGCTGGCCTGAGGCTGTTGAGGAAATGCACCGTTACCCAAATATTGATGGATTGCTGGAGGTTGGAGATAGAATGGTGAAATATAATGACCATAAGGGATGTAATTAGGAGAGTAATGAGGAATATGAACCCCACCCGGTCCTCGAAATACGGGGAGTGGCTGCTGAGTAGCTATTGAGTTTTGCATCAGCCCAGCAGCTTGAGTCGCATGTTGTGTCTGACCAGCTGTCGACAAGACAGCTCCCTGCATTCAAAACATAAAATACATAAATTTTGGGCAAAAGAAATCATGTCTTTGTACATCGCTCAGATTGAAAATTTCAAGTAGATACATATGTAGACCTATGACATCATATCTTCACTGGAATGAGGAATTTCTTGTGAAATTTACTAAGAAATAAAACTAAGCTTCCTAATATTTTCGTAATACATACACAATTAAAACTGTGACGAGAAAAACTTGAAAATAGTCTCAAGAAACGCAAACATATATTTAAGACACAATTCTTTACTTTTGAACATTTACAGCTAGTTGAAAATAAACTAAACTAAAAGAACACAATCACCTTAATAACCATAATTACACAGACTTCCACAATATTTTGAAAAGCATCACAAACCTCCTTTTTCCTTATTTTTACAAGCACCGCTTAATAGTTGGAGACTTCAGTTGGTTTTCAAGATAAAGATGATGTGTGGTAAAGTTTTTAAAACAAACATGAGGTGACCAACAATCCCATCTAAGTTTAAATACCAATAACCTCTTAACAGTATACAACTGTTTCATTTTATATTAGTACGCAACACAATCTTCAAAAATAAATAACTACAATTGTTACTTTAACAGTGCAAACCTCTTGAAGAGACTGAGAACTTGGTGTAGGAAGCACTGGAACACCGCCATTGTACTTGGTTGTAACTCCAGCAGAAGGTAAAGGAGAAAGACGGCCTTCACTATCAGCACCAGAGCGGTAATACTGAGCGTAGTAATTAGGATCAAATGGTTGATGAACCTATATAAGATCCAATCAAATTAAACTTTTTAAGAAAAAAATGCATAGTAAAGTAAACAGTAAATAAATGAGAAAAATAGGTCAGAGGGCTCACAACAAAGCTTGGAAGCCGAGAAATATCTCGTGCTTGAGACTCAGAATTATCAATTTGTGCAGACTGTGTTTCCAACATTGGGGGCATGAAACCTAAATTGTAGTTCGGAGAAGTATGCACCACAGGGTATTCATTACCTTCAGATGGCATACTGACGTGTTTTGACTCATTATCCTCTTGAATATTACTGGATGAGATATCCACCTCCACGGATGATGACAAATTTTCCGGTACAGTAGTGGGGAGTGGTTGTGCGTTGTCAGGATAATCACCGACCGCAGACGGAATTGAAGCATTTTGATTGCTGGAGAAAAATATTTCATTTGTCAGTGGGCAGTATAGATATCATTGGCAAAGAAATAAACAGATATACCAAATGCAAAGCAGAAAAAAGAAAAAAAAATAAGCATGTTACAGTTCTATTAGTAACAAGTGACATATGAGTAAAAGTGTAAGCATGAAAGTTCACTCACTATCTACTCATGTCAAATGTTTAAAATTTAAGCCTACCATTGACGACTTATAAGCTAATTTTTTATATACCACTTAAATCATACATATATAACCAATGACTACTTATAAGATAATCAGATTTCTAAAATGTGTACTAAACATATAGGAAATTTCTCAGAAATCAAATTCAAAAAATAGAATTTCCAAATTTTACAACTAGAATTTCCAAATTTTACAACCTTGAGTTCTTCTCCCCTGCAGTTTCTTCAATAGCCTGGGAAACTTTGGAAAGAGTTGAACTCTTTTCGCTCTCTGGGCTGGTAACATAATTTGTAGTAACCCCAAAATTGATTCCCAGGCTCCCAAAGCTAAACTTGCTCTTTTCAGATTCAGGAACCAAAATATGGTTTGGAAGAATGACATGTTGACGCGGTGGAACGCGTAAATTCTCAAGCTTCTTCTGCAGTTCAGAAGCAGCTTCCTCAGAATCAATGATTTTAGACACAGACGGCAACTGTATGGTAGCTTCAGCTGAAACGGCGGAAGAGTCGGATACGCTAGGTGGACCGGAAGCTTGGTTAATTGTATGTGTTGGCTTTGGTTTCCACTCCTTAATAGAACCAGCTGTGGTAAATAAAAACATTATAAATCTAGATAGAACCAACTCGTGATCATAAATGGTCAGCAGGGGAAAAATTAATGCAGTCACACTTAACAACCTATCAGGACAAATCTATACAAAATCTTAAAATTCAAAACAACAATGTAATAAGTGAAAGGCACATAAATACATTCAATAGAACTGGTTTATGACAAAACCTTACTGATCAATAAATAATAACTAACACAATAGATACATACTAAGCATGATGCCAAGTGCTACCAAGATCCTTTCTTTACAAAATTATCTACAGTTCTCTCAAACTTCCATATTTTCTGTACCGGTTTATTCCATATTTTCTCTCGAACATTTATGCATGATGCATATACATCATTGTTTTTCCTCTGTAAGAAACAGGTAGTAATGGAATAAAAAATATCAAATACTGAAGAATACGGACTATGGAGTGCACAAAAAGCCTCCTTCTTATGAATTACCTTTCTGAAGGCCGCTTATCTGTTGTGATCGGTTGTTGTAATTGGATGACGGCCGGCTACCTGAGGTGGTCCCATGTACTACTGTTGATGAAGATGGCACTTCAGGAACGTGGTTCTTTGCCACTGCCGGTGCTTTTCTTTGACTCTTTACTTGAAAAGAGCTACCAGTCTCAGAAGCTGTCATACAGTTAATGGATGAAAATTCTTCATTTATTACATCGGAAAATGTTAAAATGCAAAAAATATACTTATAAATGTCCTAACCAGAAGACTTGTTCTCAGAAGAAGTGTTGGCCACATTAAATTCAGCAGGAGGACGTTGACCTCCCACTTCCCGCTTAATTGCACCAACAGCACCAGGAAAACGTGAATCATTCGATGGAACCAGTACCGGGTCTGAAGAAGAGAAACAGACAGCTGATGACGACGCTGGTCTAGTCCCTAAGCCGTCACTGATGGAAGGCCCTGACTCACTTCCAATAACAACTTTGGCATCTTTGTCTAAACTATCAGAAGGAAAATCCTTAACGACAGTAATATTACCACCATCCAATGGACTAATTCTATCTACATTTCCAGTAGATGAAGGGGATGAATTCACATTAGTAGTTCCAGATGATACAGTTGTAGGCCCATTGGCAATAGCTGGAACAGTGCTGCAAATGACAGATAGTTATGTAGTTTGATCGAAATGCATCAGAACTTAAATGTGCCGCTGAAACTACTTACCTTGTTCCAGAACTTTTTTCTCTCGACTTTGTCTCTTGCGAACCTGGCAAAGAAGGATTTCCCTTTGCAGTTTCTTGGTTGGACCCGCTATCTTTGCCGGTACTAGAATTCTTGCCACCACGACCATCTGAGAGAAGGCCCATAGAATATTATTTTAGTTTCTACAGCCAAATACAATACCCTAATAGTTGCACATTAGAAATACAGCTTCATCTACTACTGTTCATTCAATTGACCAGTTATACATGTTAATGAGGACAAGGTAACAACTGATAACTTTCAAGATGAAAAGTAGTCAATGCTACTAAATTGCGTTCAAAACATGTTATAAATATAGAAAATTTGAAGTTAGCACAGCCAAAACTGTTTTAGCAGAAAAATTAAAGGGCTGTAAGCAGGAAAGAGAGAAATAGGGGATAATCAATGAGCATGATGAAGGTGGGAAAAAAATTTTAAACAGGTTGTGATTCAGAATAGCTATTTCACCGTGCACTATGCGATGAGGTGCGAAATTTCCCCGGCCACCTCTAACCCCTCGCCCCTGGGTGCCAGGTCTTGAATGTGACTCTAAAGCCTCTCTGTTGTTAACATTCTGCAGAATCATAAACAAATGAAAGGAAGAAACATGAAGAGAATTAGCCAGCTAAAACAGGGAAGAGCATTAGTAAATTACAAAAAGCATATTATATAAACAAATAAAACACATTTTCTAAAAGTCCTAAAAATCCCCCCTTTGCCTCCAGTGAGCAATTGAAATCCTTCTCCTACCAACCATTGATACATTTACACCTAACAAAATGGCGTAGTCATGCTTCAGAGCCCACGAGAAATGAACAATTAACAAAGTCAGGGGAGGGGAGGGGAAGAATCCCCTAAACAACCAGAATGAAACATCACAAAAGCAAAGCAAAAACAGCTATAGAGTCCCACATAACAAGCTCAAAAAACTAATCATATATCAGTTCAATGCGATTGATAATATATATTTTACATGTATTTAAAAATAGATATTTGGCTAGGTCTAGGTGTGGCTAAGAACAGCACGGATAGACTTTGAGCATAACAGAGACTAGGAACAATGATAAACATGATTGCTACAGTCTAGCAAAATGTGAGAACGAAATATACCTCTTTCCTTCTGTCCTTCTTTCTTTTTACCTCGTGAAATGTATCTGCAAAATAGTTACTTGGTGTTATTTTATTTGGACATGGATAGTCAGAGTCATGAATATGTAACAGCGACAGTATAATAAAGCCATGACATGCTTGAACAACTTCAAAACGTCATGGTTCATAGCAATACATGAATTGGTGTTGATAATTAAAATGCAAACTTATGAGAGCTTGAACTTCACATCCAAAACTAATAATTCACATGGGAAGAATGGAAGGATATATTAAAAGACCGTGATAGTATTTATAGAGACTCCCAACATGATATATGTCAAATTTAACAGCCATAAACCAAAAAATTTGTTGTTTGTACCAAAAACAATGATTGAAATTTACTCCAGTTAAGGGGTAAAGATGACGATAGTTTAATCAGACAGCAAAACAATCTGGCACAAACTAAGAAATTCATACTCTAACTAACAACCCATCAAACAAATGCTTTAAGAAATTCATGAAATAAAAATGCAAAAAATAAAATAATATTCAAAATTCATGAAATAATCATAAATCACAATACGAGACAGATTTAACAAACAAAGAACTGGGGAAAAAAAGTAAAAAAAACAAACAAATTTAACCATCCACATTGGAGGGATTTCGTGTCCAGCCACGAACACATGCAATATAGGCCGCTATAGCAACCACCACATCAAACTGTTCAACAAAACTGTTCCAATACAGACTTCTCTAATAGCTGACAATGGCCATTATGGCGCACAATAGACAAAATAGCCAGAATAGAGAATGAAATCCAACTTCTCCTCCTATCTATTTTGGAGGAAACATGAGGGCAATAACCAACTACAGCAAATTGAGGAACCACAACATAGAATGACCTCACAAAAATAATAAACTACGAGCCGCCAAATGAGTATCAACTGAGCTGAACATTTAGAAGCACAACAATTGTAGACCCCAAAGAAAAAACTGAGTCAAGTTTACAGCTATAATACAAGTCAACCAAACACATCTGATGTGAAACCAGACACTCAAGAAAATGACTCTTGTCTAAAGTCTAAACACAACTCACCTTTCCTTACACCAACAACTACACGGCACCTAAGAAAAATCAAAAGGGGCAAGAAAAAAACCTAAACTTAACACAAGAGAACTTCATCAACAGTAAAAAGAAGCTAACTTTCTATAGACCAAGCTACACAAAACCTCAAAAAAAAAAATCAAAAGGGGCAATTTTAAAAATTAAAAAAAAAAAAGTCCAAACCTAGCCAAAGGGTCCCCACTTCACACTCCAAAAACCCAATTCCACCGACACACTTTCAAAACACCAAACAAAACCCAGATTTTCAAAGCACACAAAAAAAAAATCAATAAGATCAAGATCGAAAAAATCAAAGAAAGCAAGATAAAAAGATGATTATACCCTGAAACAGAAGCTTCTGAGTAGTCTCGTTGGGATCCATAGAACACTCCTTAAGCATTGCATAAATCTCATCATCAGTATGATTACCCGTGATCTCCTTAATATTCTGGATCGTCTTCCTAACACCGGTCGGAATCGAAACCCTGGACCCAGTAGCGCTCATGTTTGCAGAAAATAGAAAAGACACAAACTTTGAAAGAAGAATAGAGAGAGAGAGAGAGAGAGAGAGAGAGAGAGAGAGAGAGAGAGAGATGGTATTTTTATAGAGAAAGAGAAAGAAGGGTTCAGTGATTTTGTTATGGGTGATGATGCAAAAGAGAGACTAACGAAGAAACATTTGAAGTTCGTATAACTTGGCACAAGGTGCGTGTTTTTGTGTGATCCGTTATATAATTATTTCACAATAATAATAATGTTTTCTTTTTCTTTTTCCTTTTTTAATTCATTTTACTCAAATGGAAATAAAGTGAGGAATGTGAGGGAAAATATATGGTTAGATATTTAGAGAAAATCCATGTATAATGTATTGGTGAGCAAGGAACAAGAGAGAGAGAGAAAAAACCAAACAATAATGTAGGGCTTTTAGTTTCTCTTTTTCTTGTGTTTTTTAGATTATTTATGTTTTTTTCCTCATACTTGCCTTCTCCTATCCTTGCAATTTCTTTTGCCTTTCCCAAACTTTTTTTAATTTATTGACTTTTTTTAATTTATTGACTTTTCATATTGGTTGTCTTTTCTTTTTCCTTGCATTTTTAATTAAATTCAACTCACCTCATGTCTTATGGGCTGGTTAATGGTTACCTAAAAAGAAAATGCACTTCCTCTATTTTATTTTATGCTTTTTTTATCTATTTTGTAAAATACTTTAGCACGGTGTATAAAAATAAATGGCATGTGTGTCATTTAAATAAATAAAAAAGGGTGTGTGTGTAAATTATACAATATATAAGATAGTGAATTATTTGTGTGGAAAAGCAAAAATATTATAATTTTTTAATTTAGGTGATTTATCGAATAAAAATAAAAAATAAAAAGGAGTTGAAGTAAAACCTAACTATTTCATAAAAATATTCAAAAAAAACTTTGAAAAACACAAATAAAAAGTCAATCTCATCAATTGTCGTAATCAACAAAAAAAATCATGTGTTGTGTAATCTATCTACGCGTGTATTTTTCTCTTAAAACATGTGATATATCTTGAATCTAAAAGAATTTAAAAAATTATCTTCTTTCTATTATTTTTATTAATTTATAAAGGAAAATTAAGTGTTTGATTTTTTTTGTAATTAGTTTTATAACCTATTTCAAATTGATCATTTTAGAAATTAAAATAGGGATAACTTTCACGCATTTTCTGAATTTTATTTTAAAACTATACAAAAGTGTTATGTTCAACTATAATTGAATATATTCATTGATAATTTAATCATACAAACAGGGATGGAGTTGTTAAAAGTGGGGTGGATGCGGTATTAAAAGTGAGGATTACCCAACTTAGTAGATGCAATTGCCTTTTACTACCATTTTTCATCTTTTTTATGTTGTATTATTTTCCCTCTATCAATTAAATATGATACATGAATCAATAGTATGTCATACTGTCAAGAATAAACTACTTAAAGTGTACTTCTGAAAATCGAAGACTATGGTACAAAATGTGTTACACTTGTATCCTACTCGAGATACTTAGCGTGTTCAAGTAATACCAATTTCATCAAACTTTTCTGGAGTCCCTAAACTCACTCTTTTATTCCTCCAATTCTATATACTTTCTCAGTTTTCTCATAATCAAAAGCTTTTTAGAAAAAGAAAATTAAATGGTCATAATTCATGGAAATTTAACTAGGGTACATGTAATAGAGAGACAATGCATAATAAAACGCAAAAAAAAAATTCAAAAAAAAATTAATATAGAAGGGAAATACCCCCCCCCCCCCCCCCCCCCCCCTCAAAGCTTAACCTAACATTGATCTCAATGTTCTAGTAAAAGTGAAGGGAGGTAAAGAGAAACTCTCAAAACCTCATTGTGGAGGTGGGAAGTGCAACAGAAGATCATGCAGAAACCTCAAATACTATCGACTGGGACACTTTGTCTAGCTTGTTTGATCCATTGCCTTTGTTGTTCTACTTCTTAGCTCATTTGCTCGGCCTTCAGATATTCAGTCTCTGGTGCATCCAACCTCACTAGTCTTGATTTTCACTTGATGTCTCAGTGATAGGCATGGGGTTGTGCATTGATATCATCATTTATGGCATCAACTATAATATTAGTTTCAAATTATGGAAAACCCTCATCTCCTGAAACATCATCAGATGGGATATCCCGAGTGTACAACCAGTTTCTTTTCAAATTCAATTTAACTTTCCTTCTATTTAAAAAACAGCGAATATGATTTCCCTCATACATAAAAGCATAGGATTTTCCCGAGTGATATATCATCCCCATTAATGTTAGGGAATCCATATCTTCCATGGATATTCCTACGATGGGTAGTTCTTCTACCTTATTAAATATGATGCCTAAATTATTAGTGATGGGGGTAATCAATCCCCTATCATTATGTCGTCGATGGATAAAGCAGTGATTCTTTTAAATTATTTTGCCAAAAGCACAACAACATTCACATAATATTAATGGAACATGGCATGCAAAAAATATAATTATTTCAGAGTGGTTAACCTTGTACTATCCCATATGGCTAAAATGGTATGAGCCATGAGCCTATAGATGTACTTAACACATGGTTTTAGATCCAAGATGCTTTGGCACTTTTTGCCTTATAGCACGTATCTCCTGAAATAGAGCCCCAAAATTATCCTGCATTAAACGAGTTAACGACATCGCCATTCCCATCAGTAGGCAGCTGGAGAATATCCCTAAGGGCTTCGACATACAACTCATAATTGTTATTATGAAACTAAATGTTATGGTTTATGTTGTGTACAGTCCATTTTTTCCTATTCGATTATACAGTTTGACCTTAAAGTTGCACAAAAACTCGAGAGTTAATCTCGTATATACAGGATAATCATTATAAATTATACATCCTTAGATTATGAAACAACGTATCAACATATTCTTTGAAGCCTAAGGTGTCTAATGTATTGTCACTGGCGTACCTAGTTGTGCTAATGTGCCTATAAGAGTGAAGTCCATACCTTGTATGGTGTTCTTATTTGGTGAAGATGAAACCATGCAGATTGATTATGGACGAGCTTCATTTTTTGCAACATTTTTCATGTTGTCGAGGATTTGTAGTGACCTCTTATTTGATTTACTATCCTTGATTTTTGCCTGACTGTTCTTATCTTGAGATTACAGTCAGCGGGATGCCCCAGTTTTTCTTAAGTATCCTTCGTAGGTTTTGACTTAGTGGGCTTTTCTTTTGAGAGATAACGACTGCCTAATTGATAGGGAACCATCGCCGTCTTTTGGTTTAGAAGGATGATTTTGATATTACTTGTTGTGTACGAGGTGAAAGTTTGCGACTGAACGTTGTTGTACCCCAAAATTTGCCCTCTCATTTCTCAAAGGATCACCCTGGAACCTCAGGTTTGTTCCCATACAATTTTAAGCCTTGAATTACAAATTTTCCAAGAAAGTCATTCACAAGGGCAAAATGGTCATTTGCATACTAAAAAGTTAAACTTTGACTTTTGGATCAAAAAATCAAGTTTCAAGAAACATATTTCATTAAGGCATGAAGTTTGTTTTATCAAGAAATTCAAAAGTCAGGATTACTTTGGAAAAGTCAAAATTCTAAATACTTAGAATTTTTCTAAGTGTTTAAGAAATATGACAAATTCAGAACTTCTGATCAGATTATCACCATGATGCAAGCTGATTCTTGAAGAACTTCTGGCACAAAAGTTTTAGATTTCAATAAAATCTAAAACATTGCAGAATAGAACTTCTCCTATAAATGTTGGGATTTCAAGTTAAATCCTCAAAGACACGTCCTTGAAACTGAAGCATTCAGCAAATTCTGGATACTTTCAAAACAGATTTTGGTCAGAACTTCTGGGTCAATTTTCGCATAGGTTCAGTCAGAGTTTGCAAGGGTAATTCAAAGAAGGTTACAAAGCATGCTACAAGCTTTCTGGAAAGTCTGAGAACTCCTTCAGAACATGCTGGAGTAAGGAGATACAAAGATCAGAAGTTAGATGTCTATCCTAAGTTACGTTGAATCTAAACTTCTGATTCAAAATTAAGCAATGATGCAGAATCTTACATTGCAGGATTTCTGGTTGGATAAATCTCATCATCATTTAATGCTCATAACCACTTTTGGGTCTTTATCCAAAGGACTTCCCCACGTGTGGAATAGAAGTACCATCATTGTCTTGGAAAAAGCAACTTTTGCACAAGAATGGGTTAGGCCCATGTGTTGCTTTTACTTTTGAGGTTACTTTTCCTTAATTCCCGCTTACGAATCCAGCTTAGGCACGGCTAAGAAACTGCTAACCACCATACCTATTCAAATTTGCTTCAAGAACAAGTCAGCGCCTAGCATATGATGGTTATACCCTTGATCTCTACAAGCTACAATATCCTTGCCCATAAATTGAAAGTCATTGGCAACTGTAAAGAGGTCAAATTTTTTAGAAAGAAAAAGCCTTGAACCCCTGCTAAAATTCCAAGAGTCCAAAACTGCAAATACAAAAATACAAAAACCTGTTAGCTTTTGATTCTTGCATTCAGGCTCCATTTTTTCCTCAAGTATTTTTTGACCAAAACCATCCATACAGTTTCTGATATACATTTAGAAACCATTCTAACTTATGTGTTTAGACTGTAACACATTCTCCATCCATATTCACCTCAAGGAAGTCCAAACTTTGCCCCCTTGGTTGTTCTAGAATTTTTCTAATCATTCATAGCCCAAGTTGAAAGCTTTCAGTTTGCTGAGTACATGAAGAAGATGTTCAGAACATCAGCAGAGTTCAGAACCAAACTCCAACTCACAGAGTATTTTCCAACTGCAAGGTAAGATTCAGCTGACTCTCATCATATACTTAAACATTGTCAAATTTGCATGTTCAAAAATACAATGTAGACATCATGATTCTAATGTTGTACGTATTCTGAGGTTTCACGTATTTGTATGCCTAAGTAGGGAGTAAATTAGTTCAGAACTTAAGGAAATTAGGATTAGCAAATTC